AGCTCGTAACCTGTCTCTATGTTATAGTCAGCTCGTAACCTGTCTCTATGTTATAGTCAGCTGGTAACCTGTCTCTATGTTATAGTCAGCTCGTAACCTGTATGTTATAGTCAGCTCGTAACCTGTCTCTATGTTATAGTCAGCTCGTAACCTCTCTCTATGTTATAGTCAGCTCGTAACCTGTCTCTATATTATAGTCAGCTCGTAACCTGTCTCTATGTTATAGTCAGCTCGTAACCTGTCTCTATGTTATAGTCAGCTCGTAACCTCTCTCTATATTATAGTCAGCTCGTAATCTGTCTCTATGTTATAGTCAGCTCGTAACCTGTCTCTATGTTATAGTCAGCTCGTAACCTGTCTCTATGTTATAGTCAGCTCGTAACCTGTCTCTATGTTATAGTCAGCTCGTAACCTGTCTCTATGTTATAGTCAGCTCGTGACCTGTCTCTATGTTATAGTCAGCTCGTAACCTGTCTCTATGTTATAGTCAGCTTGTAACCTCTCTATGTTATAGTCAGCTCGCGACTTCTCTCCATGTTATAGTCAGCTCGTGACCTCTCCCGATGTTATACCTTTATTACGGCTAGTGCAACCTAGTCAAAACGTTAATATTAAGACCCGATTTACAGCTGCTTTTACGACACAGTCTTTCACGCGCGTTCTTTCACGTCATTTCAGGAGCGCGTGCGCAAACGGGAGCGATTGATATTTACTATTTTTTTATTCACTCTTTCGCGTGTATTTCATTCATGTCATTTTATTTTCCAAAGACACATTATAGACTTATAATTTAGCAATAACTCTATAATTGTCTTTGCTCCATAGTTAATTGTCCGTCATTTTACAATGACAATTACTTATTACAAAAACCCGCTAAATCCCTCGGTATCGTTGTACGCGGGGATGCGCTCACTGTTTGCGTGTGCTGTCTCTCTCGTTCTCTTTGTCTACATGTACATGCACACTCTTTGTTGCGTAAAAGACGATTCGCGCGGAGAAATAGCGTACGTGTAAGGGGCTGTTCAAGTATTACGTAAGCAGATTTATCACAATTATTTACCCCCCATCCCCCTTGTCAGCAAAAGTAAGCAAAGCTCTTATCCCCTCCCCCCATGCTTACGTAAACATTTCTCAATTAATGTATTGTTTTTTTAGCAAAGACAATGTGAGGGTTGCCATTCGTGTAAAAAATTAAATTACGACCGATGACGTAATCATCATACAGACTCCCCCACCCCCATGTCATCCAAAATAAGCAAAGAAAAGTCCCCCGCCCCCCTATAGTGCTTACGTAATACTTGAACGGCCCCTAAAGGCAGGTAACAATATAAATAATGTTTTATGAAACACGAAAGTTTAAAATTTAGAAATAAAAATCTAATTAAAGTACCAACTAAACGCTATAACAGACAATTTTATAAACTATACAGGCGCCTCGGTGGTTTAGCGGTATAGCTCACCGCCTTACTTTCCGATGGTCGCGGGTTCGATTCCTCATACAGTACAAACATTTGTATTGAGTATAACTGTTTGTATCGGTATGGTTGTCATTTATGTATGTATTTACAAAAATCTAATAATTTCTACCAGTTGTCTAGTAACAATAACAAATTCTGCTCAGATTGGGACTAGATGGTGCTGTGTGAATTGTACAGGGCTATTATTTTGCCGTTCGGAGATGCCATCAAATCAGACGTCTCCTCTATTTTGTAGCTTTTATTTTAGCTTCTCTATTTTGTATTTACACATATTTAAATACAATATAAAGTTACATTAATTTTTTAAAAGAGCCACACGCAAGTTCCTTGCTCGTTCTTATCATGTCTTCTTTGGACATCTTTCCGAATGAGTGGTAGAAGAAAAACTTAATTCCTTACAATGTAAAAGTGCTTAATTTTCAGTTTACATGAATTCTTCTATTTTATTCTGACTCTGGTGGCATTTCCACCAGCATTAGGGGAGCATGTGCAGAACCTCCCCCACCCCCCGATCTTTGGGGCATAGGGGGGGGGGGGGGGGGGGGGGGGGGGGGGGGGGGGGGGGGGGGGGGGGGGGGGGGGGGGGGAGAACAACACAAGTTTCTTGCTCATTCTTCTTATAACGTTTTTGTTACATTGGATTAGTCCCCTCCGATCGATCCCCCGTCCAATTCAAACGGGGATCGATATTACGACGGCCTGAGCCGAGGTTCGAACCCCTAGTGGTGCCAGACTAAAGTTATATCCGTCAGGCGGGAGTTGGCCTTCAGCCGCTCCATAAGTCCTTCCTTTGGTTTGGAGTGCCATCTGCACTCGCCCCGTATCGTCCGGTGAAGCTGTAAAGGCCAACGGCCAACAGCATTAGAGTAGTCCGAAAAAAATGGATTAGTACAATGTGTACCAAGCTACTCCGTAATTTTTATATTATTTTTAAATTTGACATATCTTTGACTCCGTTTTTCTTTGTATAATTTTTCCTTATAATACCCTCAATACCTGTCACTCATCAGGTACATCAGATATGTCCTTACAACGCTACAATTGAACACTGTGTCAGAATGAATACCAATTTACTTATTAAAACCACAGAACAGAAAAGAATACAAACAAAATTCTCGTTCTTTGTCTATCTTTACACGCACATACTTTCTTCTGTGAAAGAATATACATATAAACTTGACGACCTCGGTGGCCTAGCGGTCTAGGACACCGCTTTACGTCCGATGGTTGCGGCTTCGATTCCTCGCACGGCACAAACAATTGTATTCATGAGTATGATTGTTTGTATCGGTCTGGGTATTTTCTATGTATGTATTTATGAAAAAAAAATATCTATATGTATCAGTTATCTAGTACCCATAACACAAGCTTTAGCTAGCTTAACTTGGTTCTAGATGGCGCTGTGTGAATTGTCCTGAGATTATTATTATTATAATAATCTCAGCTTATATGTCGATTTCGAAAAAAATTATATATATATATACTAGAATAGCCAGTTTCTCCAGCATTAAATTAAAAAAATATATAACCTATGTGTTATTCAGATGCATAAGCTATATTACTATAAAGTTTCATCAAAATCAGTCGGTAGTTATTGCGTGAAAGAGTAACAAACATCCATACTCACAAACTTTCGCGTTTATAATATTATTAAGATATATATATATCCACTTTTAATATTCTGTTTTCCTGTTCTGCGATAGTAATACAAATTTTATAAAAAAAAAAATGGCGGTACAAATTAAATTAAATATAAAAAACTATTTTTTTTATGTAAACATTCATAATATTAGGGTGTATTTTTTTTTTCAGCAATAATATCATTGGAACGTTATATGCAGGGTGTAAAAGTATATTTACGGTCATTTTATCTTCATTTGCTTTTTATATTTAAATATAGTCTTAAAAACTGAATCTTTGACTATGATGACATTGGTATTAAACTAACGCTGGTAGGGTAAAATTAATAATATAAGAATTTGACGTTCATAATCGCCTAAAATCTACTATGGTGGTAAACAAGCATACGGCCCATCTTAGCCGTAGCCTATGGACGCACAAAATACCAGTGTGTTAAATGATAATTGACTTTGAAAATTATAATTACTTTAGTTTAAACTGTAATAGTTTAATATTAATGTCATTTAGTTTTTTTTATTTACTTACAGAGTTACTTAATTCACAATTTTAAAAAAACTAGATTTAATTAATAAAATAAAAACACCGTATAACCGGGGAGAACAAAAAAAATTGCGCTATAAAGAAACACCCTAAGAATAATAAAAAAAAACTCTCTTTTTGAAAGTCGGTCAAATTGTTAAGTTGCTCATATATACTTTTACACCTTGCACAAATATATAACTAACATACACAATAACAACACACATGTATTGTCTATCATCTAAAAACAATTAAATATTTACAATATTCCTTAGCCTAATAAAAAAAAATATTAAAAAAAAAACACGGACAGTCAATGCAAGCAGCCTTTTTTTTCTATAACTTTGGTTGAAACTTGACTATTTCACACTTGGCCGAACACAATTTGTACATGTGCCTCTCTTTCTAACATTAATTGTAGAAAGAGACAAATTCTCGTTTGTATATCGCACATCTAGTGCAATAATGAAGTAACTAAAATATTACAAACATTGGAATTTCCACTCTAAAGAATTAGAATTAAAGTTTATAATTCTCGTTTGAATATAGAATACTCAATGTAACAATGAAAAACTCAAAAATTACAAACATCGGAAATTCAACCTTAATCCCCTTAATTTTAAAGTTTATAATTCTCATTTGAATATCGAACACCGATGTATTAATGAATAACTCAAAAATAACAAACACTGGAAATTCCACTCTAACGATTTAGTATTAAAGTTCATAATTCCCATTTGAATATCGAACACCAATTGTAATTAACTAAAAAAATTATACACATTGGAAATTCCACTCTAATTGTTTAACTTAAGGTTTATAGTTCCAAACTTTGGACATTCCATTCTAATTCTTTAGTTTTATAGTTTATAACGATCGTTTAAATATCGAACACCGAATCCCATAATGAATAACTCAAAAATTATAAACATCGAAAATCCACTCTAAACCTTTAGCTTAAAGTTTATTATCCTTTGCATATTGGACACCTAATTCAATAATAACTCAAACATTACAAACATTGGAAATTCCACTCTATTGCTTTAGCATTAAAGTTTATTCTTGTTTGAATAACGAACAATACAGAAGTAACTAAAAAATTACAAACATTGGAAATTCCACTCTAATTCTTTAGTATTAAAGTCCAATTTTAACAATTTCATATTTTTGAGTATATCCAACACGTTACCTAGTAACTATACTCAAAAATATTGTGTAATATATGAGTATTAAAAAATAATTATGTTGTATTAAATTTTCAGAAACTAAATTTCAATATTTTTTTGCATTTTTTTTTTTTATGGATATATATAACATATTATGGAAAATGTTTGATTTCTGCACTATATTTCTATTGTTTCTATATAATTGTAATGGTAAACAAGCTGACGGCCCGCCCGATGGTAAGTGGTAACCGTCGCATACATGAACAATACTACGGACATCACGTTATCACGTGACACCCGTGATACCACTCACGCGTTGTCATTCCAGAGTACTAACATGTTACGCCTCTTATCCTGTAATTTCACTTCCTAATCTGCACTATAGCCGAAACAGCTTACAAAGCAAGCTGCTTGGCCAAAATAGGTGAGACTGAGGTACACACACAGACGAGTTTTTACAGTCTATTTGTATACATTTTTTTAACATTTGCAACTTATATACAGTTGAAAATCATTGGTAAATTAAATATATATGCATTTAAAATCTTCTATAGAAATGCTGAACTCTGGATTTTCAGATATAGCAAAAATCTGACCTTAGCATACGCCTTGCCTTGTTCACTGTTATAACACAATACTCTTTTGTAACGTCGGCTAGTTAGTTGATGTCTCTTTCCGGCCGGTGAACGAGACGATGGACCGTATCCCCTTGACTGAGGTCTGGAAACACAAGAAAAATATATATTAATATTAAAAATGCGAAAGTAACTCTGTCTGTCTGTCTATCTCGATTTCACGCCAAAATTACTGAACCGATTTAAATGAAATTTGGTACACAGATAGTCTAGAACCTGAGAAAGGACACAGGCCACTTTTTCATCCGAAAAAGGATTTTTTTTTTTTTATATTTAAATACATTTTTCCACAGACATATTCGTCCGTGCCTTTTTTAATTTACTTTAATATTATAATATTTATTTAATTTCCATTTTTGTACAACTCCAGCCGAGATGTTACAATTTGCCTAACAGTGACACCGAGGCAGACCTTATCCGTCTGGCCCAGAACCACCGCTGGCCGGCCGGGTGAGTTGACAACATGCAGTGTCACCCATCTTTATTTGGAGGATTAGATTTATCAATATGCATATACAATTATCCGAAAAAGGATTGTAAGGGGTTGAAAGGGGGCATGAAAGATTGTTTGGAAGAATCGTTATTATTGAAGCTGAAACGAAGGTGTGGAAATAAAAGAAAAAATAAATTATTCATTCAAAAAATAAAAGAGCAACACACAAGTTTCTTTATCATTCTTCTTGTGATGAATCTGCGTTCCGAACAAAAACATTATCATCACAAACTCTTGAATTTTATAATAATCAATTTTATAAAGATAGTGTTTCATATGTATACATATATATATATATATTTGCATCTTTTTTCAGGCTGATTTAGAACAGTTTATTATAAAACGTTATGCAATTTCCGCAATCCAGTTCTCACAATGCCGTTTCGGTGAAGGTTTGGCACAAACACTGCGATACGAGTATCTAAATATATATAACTCAAAGGTGACTGACGTAGTGATCTATAAACACACAGCCCAAACCACTGGACGGATCGGGCTGAAATTTGGCATGCAGGTAGATGTTATGACGTAGGCATCCGCTAAGAAAGGATTTTGATTAATTCTACCCCCAAGGGGATATAATAGGGGATGAAAGTTTGTATGAAACTTTGTCAGTTTTAAACCGATCCGGCTGAGACTTTGCATGCATAAAGCTACTATGACGTAGGCATCCCCTAAGAAAGGATTTTAATAAATTCCACCCCTAAGGGGATAAATTAACGCGAGCGAAGCCGCAGGCAAAACCTAGTTTTATATATATAAGACAAAACTTACCTTTTTCTTAGCCCCGTTCAGATAGTCTTTATACATTTCCGACCGTAGATATCTCGAGTAGCTATCTGATTTCATTAGGTGGTACACGTGCGCCTGAAACAGATTTTTTAGTTATTTTTAAATTTTCGTGTTTAATATAATATATAATATACATTATTTATTATAAAGTTGCGAGGCAACAGATTGAGCTGGTATGGGCATGTTATGTGGAGGAACGAGGATCATGTCTTATGGAAAGTGTATAATATGAATGTGGATGGATGTAAAGGCAGGGGACGCCGTAAGAAAAGATGGTTGGATTGTGTGAAAGATGATATGAATAAAAGAAGAGTATGTTTAGATATGACGACTGATAGAGAGCAGTGGAAGAGAATGACATACTGCGCCGACCACAAATAATGGGATAAAGGCGAGGCAATGATGATATTATTTATTTTACAAAAGTATTTTTTTTGTTTGACTACTACCATCAACAAACTGACGGTCCACTCGATTATAATTATAATATCTTAGTACAATTTACACAACGCTATACCCAAGCTAACTAGATAACTGATACATACTGACAAACATAAAGTTTTTTGGAAATATATATTTAATATGCATAAGAGGGGGAAAGGGGATCGTTAGTAATGTGGACTAATAATCCCATTGCTAGCAATGTACCATGTCAGGTTGACCTCCACGCGGTTCCCCCTGGAAACTATCGTCATCAATTTCTGGTAAATTCGGCACGAGGGTCTAACTGACCTGACCCCTCACTCATGTTATGTGGAGGATCCACTGGTGCCCCGTCAGCGTATAGCGTATACCGGTTAGTTAGCCCATCGTGACAAATTCACCAAGTATTTATCACGATGGGCTAACCTGACCTCATGCTCATGTTATCATCCTCCACTGGTGCCCCGCCAGCGTACACCGTTAGCGCTAGCGGGTGCACCATACCATTATCATCCATTACAATATATATACACAGGAGAGCCCCATTGCTAGCAACATACCATGTCAGGTCGACCTCCACGCGATCCTCCTTGGAAACTATCGTGATCAAATTCTGGTAAATTCGCCACGAAGATCTAACTGACCTGACCCCTCACTCATGTCATCATCCTCCATTGGTGCCCCGCCAGCGTGTACCGTTAACGCAGGCAGGTGCACCATTACATTATCATCTTTGAAAAACGATACATCAAAAACACAAAGTGTGAAGGATGGAGACCAAGATGACGAGCAAAAGTAAAACAATACCGTTGTAGTTGTAGAATATTTTTGTGTTGAATTGATATGTCATATAAAAACAATATAATATTATAAAAAATATAGACAATAAAAAATCATAACTTATGAATACAAATGTTTGCACCGTGCAAGGAATCGAACCCGCGACCTTCGAATGTATGGCTGTGTACGAAACCGCTACACCACCGAGGGTATCAATAATTATGTATTACCTGCGCCTGATCGAAGCAGTATCTATCAGCTGCCCCAGATTCCACTTTGATGCGCGTCAGCTCCCTGCAAGTTCAAAATGTTTAACAATTACTTTGACCGAAGTAGACGTTGAAGAAAGTCCAGTCTTAAAAGCTTTTGATATAGTGTCTTATGTATTATTATATTATTATAAAAAGGCTTTTTAAAGATAAAAAAAAATTAAGAAATTCAGATGAGTTTTTTGCCAGTTCCTCTCAATTGAATCTATATACATATATATTATTAGGTATTTATATGGTTATTTTATTATATTTATAATATAATATTTATTTATTATATGTATTGTATTTTATATATTTAATGTGTGTATGCTTTTTTTTTGTTTGTTCTTTAAGTATACATTGGAATATCTATGGTTATGTATTACAACCACTTAAAAACTCAAGCACTATCGTTGCCCGCTAACTACCACCTCTGTCACAGCGCTAGGTTGGCTGGAAGAGATCTCTTGCAGAGATAAGCCCGCCCTTGCTCACAATTTAGTATAACTGTCTTTGTCTATTAATGTAATAAGTGCAATAAAGTATATATATATACTGAACAGGACGGTAGGGTAAACATTATGTATTTCAAATTAATGTTGTACATGTTTACAGTAATACAGATTAATTTTTAAATTCAAATTTGGGAGAATAGAGTGGCCACCAGCATATGCTATTGCAAACAGCAAATGGTCTAATCAATGTAATATACTACACTTACATACACCACACTGGCAAAATAGTATAAAATATTAATTAACTTTTATGTCTACATGTAAATTAATTAAAACTGTTATCCTTGTTTTGGGAAGGAACTGACTCCTGATATACAGCTCACGTTAGTTTGGGAGTCAGGACTGCATCCAACTGTACACTGATGAAGGTTAAAAAAAAAACAAACAAATAAAAAAAATAGTTAAATGTAAAATTAGTAACTATGACCCCCATCATGCTACAGGACACAAAGTATAGATTTCATTCTCTCAGGTGCTCTACAGACCTGCTGGCAGCATCTATATTGACTGGAGATGGCGCGTCGGAAGCGAGGAACTCCTTCCATATCTCCTTAGCGCGGGACGCCACGCGGCGGATGGGTAGCGCCTTCAATTCCTGCACAGCTAGCCAGAATCTGTGAACACAATCAATTATACACGCTATCAAGTGGTATCGGGTATATTGCCTGTGGTCTAGAGGTTTAGTTTATTACGATGGTCGCGAGTTCGGTTCTTTCATGAAGTAAATATTTGTATTCAAAAATATGATTGTTTGTAACGACAATTAAACATAGTTATAGATTACTTAGACTTATGAATATAGAGTTTAAGTGTGTTTTCTATGTATTTAACAGAAATGTATCTTAGTATTTACATCAGTTTTCAAGGACCCAATAGTATAAGCTCTGCTTAGCTTGGGACTAGATGGCGTTCTGTTAATTGTTCTGAGATATTATTATTACTTAAATGATGGAACAAAAGACTCAACGCAATAAGCAGTCATCCTTTAGGAAATGCAGAGATATTTTTTATTATTAACATCACGATTATCTTTATTAGATACTATCGTCATCATCACTATCATCATCATCATTATTTGACGACCTCGGTGGTCCGCTTTACGGCCGATGGTCGCTAGTTCGATTCCACGCACGGCACAAATATTTGTATTCATGGGTATCATTGTTTGTGTCGGTCTGGGTGTTTTCTATATATAATATGTATGTATTTACGAAAAAAAATATCTATGTATATGTATCAGTTATCTAGTACACATAACACAAGCTTTAGATAGCTCAACTCGGGACTAGATGGCGCTGTGTGAATTGTCCTGAGATTATTATTATTATCAGTTATCTAGTACCCATAACACAAGCTTTAGATAGCTCAACTCGGGACTAGATGTCGCTGTGTGAATTGTCCTGAGATTATTATTATTATCAGTTATCTAGTACCCATAACACAAGCTTTAGATAGCTCAACTCGGGACTAGATGTCGCTGTGTGAATTGTCCTGAGATTATTATTATTATCAGTTATCTAGTACCCATAATACAAGCTTTAGATAGCTTAACTTGGGACTAGATGTCGCTGTGTGAATTGTCCTGAGATTATTATTATTATCAGTTATCTAGTACCCATAATACAAGCTTTAGATAGCTTAACTTGGGACTAGATGTCGCTGTGTGAATTGTCCTGAGATTATTATTATTATCAGTTATCTAGTACCCATAACACAAGCTTTAGATAGCTCAACTCGGGACTAGATGTCGCTGTGTGAATTGTCCTGAGATTATTATTATTATCAGTTATCTAGTACACATAACACAAGCTTTAGATAGCTCAACTCGGGACTAGATGTCGCTGTGTGAATTGTCCTGAGATTACTATTATTATCAGTTATCTAGTACCCATAACACAAGCTTTAGATAGCTCAACTCGGGACTAGATGTCGCTGTGTGAATTGTCCTGAGATTATTATTATTATCAGTTATCTAGTACCCATAACACAAGCTTTAGATAGCTCAACTCGGGACTAGATGTCGCTGTGTGAATTGTCCTGAGATTATTATTATTATCAGTTATCTAGTACCCATAACACAAGCTTTAGATAGCTCAACTCGGGACTAGATGTCGCTGTGTGAATTGTCCTGAGATTATTATTATTATCAGTTATCTAGTACACATAACACAAGCTTTAGATAGCTCAACTCGGGACTAGATGGCGCTGTGTGAATTGTCCTGAGATTACTATTATCATGATGACGAGTGTGAGGGTGAGGGTGAGACCGACTTGAGGTTCTCCCCGGAGAACTCCTTGGAGAGGAACTTGGCGAAGTGTTCCCGGCCGGCGCCGTCCTGCAGCAGCTCCCGCAGACCGAATGCCCAGCGCCGCACACGACGCAGCGGCAGCGGCTCCTTGCTGGAACACACGTGCATCTCTGTTTACTTCATTACTACCAGACCGCGGCTCCGTCCGCGAATTCAGATTAATTATTTCAATAACCTACTTGTTATGTTTCACTGCAAATCGGTCGAGCCGCTTCGGAGGTGTACGGTGACTGACATTGTGACACGAGAATTTTATATATCTTATTATTAATATTGTAATCGCGAAGATATGTGAGTATGAATGTTTGTTATTCTTTCACGCAAAAACTACTCAACGTATTTTGGTGAAACTTTACAGTAACATAGCTTATGCATCAGAATAACACATAGGGTATAATTTAAAAAGATATTATGTAAATTGGGTGATATATACTGATTAGTGTGATGCAGACGAAGTCGCACGGGTCGGCTAGTTATACATAATACATATAAATTAAAATAAATCTTATCTTGTAATATTATTTATTAATCCACTAGTTACTCGCCCCGGCTTCGCACGGGTGTATTTCATACACATATAAATTATAAAATAACACTTTCCTGACTTTTCTTTTATAGTATACTAGCTACTCGCTCTGGTTTCGCCCGGGTGTACATGTATTATATATAAACCTTCCTCTGAATCACTCTATTTATTAAAAACCGCTTCAAAATCCGTTGCGTAGTTTAAAAGACTTAAGCATACATAAGGACGGACAGACAGCGACAGCGACTTTGTTTTATACCAGCTCTGAGAGAAATCGTTGCTCAGTCTTAAAAAAATTGTACATACCTATGCTTCTCCTGTTCCCATAGCTCAGTGGTATCACTTATCCAGGGGTTCGGCCACTCTGGGGGCGTAAGAAACGCGTCGTATTCTGCATACTGCTCGCAGTACGCTATAAACCTGGAACAAAAGATTTACATTGGAGATCTATAATAACTATAGGTACTAATTTATAATCTCAACGACAAAATTTTTTTTTTTTGGCAATTCACACAGCGCCATCTAGACCCAAGTTAAGCTAGCTAGAGCTTGTGTTATGGGTATTAGATAACTGATACATATACATAGATATATTTTTTTGTAAATACATACATATTATACATAGAAAACACCCAGACCGATACAAACAATCATACTCATGAATACAAATGTTTGTGCTGTGCGAGGAATCGAACCCGCGACCATCGGTCGTAAAGCGGTGTGCTTGACCGCTAGACCACCGAGGTCGTCAAACTGGTCAAACAGGTCGTCAGACTAAATTGACATGTCAATTTTTCAAATAATGTTACCACCTACAGCGGGGTAGTGGTGTACCTGCGATACCGATTTGTTTAATCGGAAACTTTTATTTTAGAATATTTAATTAAGAATCTTGTATGATGTTTTCACAACTCCATTTTTTATATATTGTTCGTAGCAGTATTATAACTTGCGCTGCTCATTGCCAGACACTTAGTGTGGTTCCAACCCCCCGCCGGACCCCCCTAAACTATACTATTTTATAAATAAACTTACGTCATTTTAATAAAGCTGAACTTTATATATATTATTGAGAGAACTATTGAATTATATACTTAGGGTTGGAACCATACTAAGTGTCTGGCAATGAGTAAAACAAGTTATAATATTGTTACGAGCAATATGTGAAAAATCAGGTTTCTTGTTTGGGGGTCGTTCTTACCTTTGTTGGGGACACACATACAAGAACTTTCACATTCACTAATAAGACGTATGTCTGGCCGTCGTGGGCTCTTGGGCTACAATGTACCATGTCAGGTTGACCTCCACATGGTTGCCCCTGGACACCATGGTGATTTTACCACGATGTGCCCGCCAGCGTAAACCGTTAGCGCAGTTGGGTGTACCATTTCAATATCATATAAAAAAAAACAACTGACTAAAACACTCAATAAATAAACTCACATATCGGCAACCTTGCTGACACGCACGTTGCGTCTCTCGAGCCGCGCTCGTAGCATGGTCAACTGGCGACGCGCGGCGTCGATCTGCTGCTGAATACTGCCCCCGCGATTGTCTTTGCCCGCAGGTGCGATCACGGTTATCTCTGGCTGCGAGCTTTCACCTACAATAGATGATATTTATTTTTTATTTTATTTATATATTTATTTCAGGCTACAAGGCTCATATTATAAATACCTTATAGACTAACATACACATGAATTCATATAAAATTAATATATTGAGATTATCTGTGTGATCACGGCATGATGATGATATTACAAATAATAATGATATCCATACATATAACTAAAATTGGAGTGTTTGTAATACTGAAATAACCGTTTTTTACTACATGCATGTGAGTATAAATACGGCACATACACCAAAATAACATTTTATACAATTTTTGTCTGTCTGTCTGTCTGTCTGTTTGTTCCAAGTTTTCAATTTCAAGTGGATGAAAGTGCAGGCACAGCTAGTTATATATAGTATATAAATGAGGAGCTGTCCCAACAAACATTGTTTTGACTTATAAATTAAAATCGCTATTAAAACATAGGGGTCGGTGATAGAAGGGTGAAAATTTAGGGTTGTACGTATTTTTAATGCGACATATAAAAAAATAAAAATTGTTCAAAAAATAAATCATGTTAAGGGTGGACAACCCCTATCATTTAGAGGTACGAAAAAGAGATAGTAGCCCATTCCAATGTGGACCACAACTCAGCATAATGCTCGAAACATAGTTTCCAGCGCTGCTTTTCGGAGATCGGTTGAAAATATTGCGATTGCTATACTTCATTTCATTCATAATTTAAGAGCTGTGCTCTTGTCGGTGGAGCTCCCGCCACCTTCCACGATCTTCCATCAGTCCTTTTAGCTGTTGATACGACACGACTCCAACTTGTTCTTTAACTTGCTTGATGTAGCTGTGTCTCGGTCTTCCCCTTCCTCTCTTTCCATCTATTTCTTCTACAATGTTGTTAATTAGTTCGTCGTGTCGTATCAAGTGCCCCAACATTTTCCCCGCCTATTCTCAATAATATCTATGATCTGTCTCTTTTCTTTAATCCTCTCAAGCACTTCTTCATTCCTTATTTTATCTTTCCAGCTAATTCTGTCCATTCTTCTCCAACACCACATTTCAAAGGCTTCCAGTTTGTCTCTTTCCTTTTGTGTCAATGTCCACGTCTCACGGGCATACAAGGCTATACTCCAGATGTAGGTCTTGATGAGTTGTTTCCGAGAGGACTTTGATATATTAACTCTCAAAAGATGTTTTTTATCATTAAATGCTCTTTTCGCTATAGCTATTCTACTATTAATGTCCTTAGTACATCTGGAGTCACTGGTAATCAAACTACCTAAATATTTTTTTTTATACTACTATGGTGGCAAACAAGCATACGGCCCATCTGATGGTAAATGGTTACCGTAGCCTATGGACACCTGAAGCACCAGGGGTGTCACGTGCGCGTTGTCGACCTTTAAGAAACCTTAATATACCCTTCTTGAAAAACCCCATGCTGTAGTCTCGTGAGAAAACCTCGGCAGGTATTTCATTCCACAATCTAAGTGTACGCGGGAGGAAGCTCCTCTGAAACCGCACTGTCCGAGACCACATGTGTCTACATTTTCAAATTGTATTTTTTTTATTCTTGTAGTATATCTGCTATACTTATGGTAGAAAAATAAAATAATACTTCAGTGTGTTTTTTATAATATATGTGTGTGATATGTTTTATACTCTCTACTATTACGACTACTATTACTGCTGTTTTACACTCTTATCACTACGACTGATTTAATCTTATTGTGTTTTTATATTTGAGCCTAAATAAATTAGTGCTGGTTGGTTTTTTTTTTTATAACACAGGGGACAAACGAGCATGCGGCTCACCTGATGGTAAGTGATTACCGACGCCCATGAGCACCCGCAACACCAGTGGAATTGCAAGTACGTTGTCGGCCTTTTAAAAAGGAATAAGCTTGTTGCGGGTGAATAATACGATGTTGCTGGTCGAGACGATGTATATTACTGATGATGATAAACTGACAATGTGTACATAGAAATAATGATCTTATATACTAAATAACAATAGGAAAATGTAAGGTGGGGTGACACAGTTTAGATACAGCAGTGCCTAGTAGACAATATTGAATTTGTCTTACTAGACATTATTAAATGCATTTATTATTTTATGTATCTAGGTGACTGTGTCCCATAGATATTCCCCCCTTGAGAGAAAAAAATATATATATTACACACAAAAAAAAATTATTTAAGTTAACTGTAAAATTTAAGATATTATGAACTTTTGTAACAATAAAAATTCATTATACCCAAATAACGACGTAAATCTTCAACTGTCGTGGGTTTAGGGTACTCGTCGATTGCTTGCCATTTTTCTTCCGTTGGTTTCATCCCTTGGCTCGTTATATGATAACCAAGAAAATCTAACTCATTTGTGAAGAACTCGCATTTGCTCATATTAATTGTTTGCGGCGAATAATTTGATTTCGCTAGCGCTCTCTTTGGTCAGTGCTTGTTTTTTATTCACCGAGATTTTTGCTTTCGGTGTCCACCAAAATTCTATAGCCACTGTTAGAGTCGGTTATAGCTAGGCGGTTAGACGGATGAACAGCACAGCGTTCCGTCTTATTCTGCGTCGAATCTAGTTTTCCGACGGTTGTCTATAGGAGCGCGGCATGTCACATTTGTATGCCTTTTCTTTATATTTTGCGATGATATAATATAAATAATAGTCATTTTTCCGACTATGCAATGACCGTAGGTGCGAATTTGACCTAGATCGGTAGTTGCTGCGTCTGTTTGTGTGTGGCGAGTGCTTTTCGCGTATATCAGCAATTTCTGATCGCAGTGTCGCAATTAGTGACGAAAGGTGTGCAATGACGTCGGCGGTGACTGTTGGCTGTACTTTTGTAGACAGCATTTTTGCTTTATTTTTCCAGTTACAATTTTTCGTCCAGAGATTATATCCAGCAGGCAGTTGTGTTTACTGGGGGTCAGTAGCACGGCAGGATCCTTGTTGCGCAGTATTGCCAACGACTTTTATGCCTCTTGAATTTCCGAGCCGGTGAGACCCGCTTCTGGGAAGCCGGTGGAAATGTGCAATCGTTGGTGGTGCGCAGGATGCCGTCAGACAGAGATTTCTTGTTTGATCTCGTCGTTTTCCCAGGTATCGTCTCGACCACGTCGGCCAGATCACGTCGGGCAGATCACGTCGGCCAGATCACCACTGTTGCGGGTGAATAATACGATGTTGCTGGTCGAGACGATGTATATTACTGATGATGATAAACTGACAATGTGTACATAGAAATAATGATCTTATATACTAAATAACAATAGGAAAATGTAAGGTGGGGTGACACAGTTTAGATACAGCAGTGCCTAGTAGACAATATTGAATTTGTCTTACTAGACATTATTAAATGCATTTATTATTTTATGTATCTAGGTGACTGTGTCCCATAAGCTCTTTTCTTGAAGGTTTCAATATCGTATCGGTTCGGAAATACCATTGCTGGAAGGTGATTGCACAATGTGGTTGTGCGAGACAAAAAGTTTCTAGAAAATCGTACTGTGGAAGACCGCCATTCATCCAGATGATCAGGATGGTATTTCAGTTTCTGGCGGGTGGTACGGTGGTGAAACTCAGCAACTGGTATTAATCCGAACAATTCCTCAGAACACTCCCCGTGATATATGCGGTAGAAAATGCACAGAGATACAATATCTCGCCGAAAAGCCAATGGGTCGAGTCTGTCACATAGACGTTGATTACCAATGATTCTGGCTGCTCGGTTCTGAATGCGGTCAAATGGAAGTAGCTGGTATTGTAGTGCTCCCGACCAGAAATGAGAACAGTATTCCATATGCGGCCGGATCTGCGCCTTGTATAATTGCAAGCGATGGGCCGCCGTGAAATACCGTCTCACTCTACTGAGCACACCAAGCTTTTTTGAGGCTATTTTAGCCTTGTCCTCTAAATGACCGCAAAACTGAATGTCACTGGATATATCAACGCCAAGGACCTGGAGATTTGGCTTCACATCAAGGAGAGTGTCTTGGAACTGAGGAGATACGATAAATGGAATATTTTTAGCGCTAAACGGGCAGGTCGGTAGTTAGTATTCACACATTTCGACTTGTAAAATGTGAACTTACAAGGATTGTTTAAAAGAGCAACACACAAGTTTCTTGCTTATTCTTCTTGTGATGAGACAGCTTTCCGAATAAGCGGTAGATTAGAAAAAAATGTTGACTATTCAAAAGTGCTTAAATTAAGTTTATTTGAATAAATTATTTTCTATTCTATTCTATATTTGAGTTAATATAATTTATCCCAGTAATTGTTACGTAAAAAAAACTCACCGTTCTCCTTCACAAGACTTTCCGTATTCTTCTTTTGTATTTCTTCTTCGCTCTCTTGTGGATTTGTAATTGTAACAATCGGATTGTTCTGAAACAAGTTAATTACCTTCTATTAATAACTATTGACTCGTCACGGCGATGCTCGAGTTCTCAAACTTTATGTGTTTTCATTATCACTTCACTACATAGTCTAAATATATATAACTCAAAAGTGACTGACGTAGTGATCTATCGACTGCGCGATGAGATGCGGCTTCGCTCGCATTGAATAAAAAATAATTGTTTTTTTGACTGACTGACATAGTGATCTATCAACGCACAGCCCAAACCACTGGACGGATCGGGCTGAAATTTGGCATGCAGGTAGATGTTATGACGTAGGCATCCGCTAAGAAAGGATTTTGATTAATTCTACCCCCAAGGGCATAAAATAGGGGATGAAAGTTTGTGTGAATCTTTGTCAATTTTAAACCGATCGGGACTTAGCATGCATAAAGCTACTATGACGTAGGCATCCCCTAAGAAAGGATTTTGATAAATTCCACCCCTAAGGAGATAAATTAACGCGAGCGAAGCCGCGGGCAAAAGCTAGTATATAATAAAGTCGCTGTCGCTGTCTGTCCCTATGTATGCTTAAATCTTTAAAACTACGCAACGGATTTTGAAGCGGTTTTTTTTTAATAGATAGAGTAATTCAAGAGGAATGTTTATATAATACATGTACACCCGAGCTAAGCCGGGGCGAGTAGCTAGTTAACAATAAAAAAAATGCCGGTCCGTATGTGAGAAATATGATTCTTCAATGCGGTCTACAACGTGTTAAAAAGACTCACCTTCAGATTATGTTGCAGGATCAGCTCTTGACACTGGCGCAGCCTCTTCGCCTTCAGTGCGTTGATGCGGGACAGCTTCCGAGGGTCCAGCTCTGTGGTGTTCACACATCCCGGCTGCAAAATAATTTATGTTACTTAAAGCTTGTCGGCCTACGTAACGAACTGGCTTTTTTTCTACTCTAATGCTGTTGTCCGCAGCTGGCCTTTACAGCTTCAGGGGAGAGTGCAGATGGCACTCCAAACCAAAGGAAGGTCTCATGGAGCGACTGAAGGACAACCGGATACGACGCCAGTCTGAGGGCACCGCTAGGGGTTCGAACCTCGGCTCAGGCCGTCGTAATTTCGATCCCCGTTTGAATTGTACGGGGAATCGTTTACGGGGGTACGTTCACACGGACCTGAGCCAAGCATGGACGATTTTAAGTTATTTGAAGATTATGAAAATTTTCTTAAAATTTATTATTTTTCACTAGCTGCTCCCGCGACTTCGTCCGCGTGAAATTTAACTTTATTTTTCTAAAATAAAAGTAGCCTAAGTTAGTCGTTATTACATCAGCTCCCTGCCAAAAAAAGTCCTGTTAAAATCGGTCCAGCCATTTCAGAGATTAGCCGGAACAAACAGACAGACAAAAATTGTAAAATGTGGTTTTTTGGTGTATGTACCGTATTTATACCATATATATATCTTCATATGCATATAGTAAAAAACGGTTATTTCAATATTACAAACAAACACTCCAATTTTATTTATATGTATAGATTTCACGAGGGTAGCGCTTCTTAATAAAAGTAGTCTAGAATATGATCTATATGTGCACCAGAGTTTATTCAACTCCGTCCAGTAGTTTTGCGTGTAAGAGTAACAACAATACTAAGTTTTGTTACCATAGGCCGGTGTACGTCCCAGAACGCCCTCTCTTGACTGTCCAGTACTTTCCGCTCCAGTTTGTCTCGTTTCTTATCCACCTGCAAAAAAAGATATATTAATTTAAGACTAGTTTCTTTTATTAAAGATTTTGGGGTTGAGCCTACACTTGTAATATTTCTGTCGACACTTGACACCCTTCCATTAGTTTACGTCTCCACTAACATAGATTTAAGTTAAGTGTAAAATCAGTCTACGTCCCGACTCCGCGTCGACTGGACGCGTTATTAATAAACCATGTAGAGTAAAATAAAAATTAACACCCGTAAAATAAAAATAAGTTTTACGGTGGACCGCATAAGGTTGAGCCTACACTTGTAATATTTCTGTCGACACTTGACACCCTTCCATTAGTTTACGTCTCTACTAACATAGATTTAAGTTAAGTGTAAAATCAGTCTACGTCCCGACTCCGCGTCAACTGTACGCGTTATTAATAAGCCGTGTAGCACACTACCAATAAACTTTTTTTTTTATACTACTATGGTGGCAATCAAGCATCCGTCCATCTGATGGTAAATGGTTACCGTAGCCTATGAACGCCTGAAACACCAGGGGTATCACTTGCGCGTTGCCGACCCTAAAAACTTAATAATGTCTAATAAATCGTGCAATCATTTCACCGGTACACTCACTACCTACATACTACAATTCTTCTTCTTTAGGTGCCATCTCCTAACGGAGGTTGGCTATCATCATGGCGATCTTTACTTTGTTCGCGGCAGTCCTAAAAAGGGACCTCGTGCTCAATCCAAACCACTGCCTGAGGTTTTTTAACCAGGAAGTACGTCGTCTGCCTGGTCTTCGGCAACCCTGTATTTTTCCTTGTATTATTAATTGCAGAAAACTGGGGGGTAGGGGATAGTTAGTAATGTGGACTAATGACCCCATTACTAGCAATGTACCATGTCAGATCGACCTCCACGCGGTTCCCCCTGGAAACCATCGTGATACATTCCCGGTGAATTTGTCACGTTGGGCTAACTGATCTGACTTCATGTTCATCCTATCATCCTCCACTGGTGCCCCGACAGCGTAAATCGTTAGCGCAGGTGGGTGTACCATTCCATTATCATCCTTTAAAAAAAAAATTGCAGAAGACTATTTTTCATTCCGCATTATGTTACCCAGGTATAGCAGTTTACGGCGTTTGATGGTGTTTAGTACTTCTATCTTTTTTTGTACTCTTTGGAGAACAGTCTCGTTTCGCACTCCATCCCTCCACGATATCTTTAACATTCTGTAAACCCATATTTCGAAAGTTTGTATTCTCTTACGCATCGTTTGTGTAAGAGTCCACGTTTCAACGGCATATAGGAGAATAGAAAAGACATAGCAGCGCAGTAATCGAACTCGAGTCGCTAATTTTAGAGATCGATTGCAAAGTAGACTGCTCAATTTCATGACTGCATTTCGCGCTTGTTCGATACAGCATTTGATTTCCGTACTATAGTCTCCTTGATCATCCACAGTGCTAGTTAGTTGAGAGTTTTTTTTTTTTTATATAACACAGGGGACAAACGAGCATGCGGCTCACCTGATGGTAAGTGATTACCGCCGCCCATGAGCACCCGCAACACCAGGGGAATTGCAAGTACGTTGTCGGCCTTTTAAAAAGGAATAAGCTCTTTTCTTGAAGGTTTCAATATCGTATCGGTTCGGAAATACCATTGCTGAAAGGTGATTCCATAATGTGGTTGTGCGAGGCAAAAAGTTTCTAGAAAACCGCACGGTGGAAGACCGCCATTCATCCAGATGATCAGGATGGTATTTCAGTTTCTGGTGGGTGGTACGGTGGTGAAACTCAGCAGCTGGTATTAATCCGAACAGTTCCTCAGAACACTCCCCGTGATATATGCGGTAGAAAATGCACAGAGATGCAATATCTCGCCGCAAAGCCAATGGGTCGAGTCTGTCACATAGACGTTGATTACCAATGATTCTGGCTGCTCGGTTCTGAATGCGGTCAAATGGAAGTAGTTGATATTGTGGTGCTCCCGCCCAGAGGCGAGAACAGTACAGTAGGGTCTATTTTATTAACATTACAATTACTACCGACCCCACACACTCCTTAGGTTAGTAATAGAGTACATACAGTTAATCAGGATGGTAATTCTGGTTGTAGCGATTTATCTCATTATTAATTGTTGGCAAGTTTAGATTAATTACGATAATGGTGATATAACCAACTAAATTACCTTGCTCTGAGCCTCTGCTTGCATGAATATGAACTCCCACTTCCTGCTGAACATCTTCTGGAGACGTGCCAAGGATTCCGCCTCGTAATCTGCCAGCTCGAGCCGGGCTTTGTTCTGCATTGTACGCTTGCAGAGATACACAGCTGTAATAAAAAAACAAAAATTATTAATAGAACAAAAAAATATTTATTTTAATAAACTTACATTGAAGCACTTTTGAATAGTCATCACATTTTTATCTACCGGAAAGCTTAATAAAAAAAATATTATTCAAATTCAAAATATCTTTATTCATCTAGGTCTATTACAGACTCTTATGATATGTCAAATCTACCGTCAGTTCGGAATGATTTCGAGATGAGAAGAACTGACAAGAAACTCAGCTCGTATTCTTTTCAAATGAGCTGTAACATGTTTATATAAGTATAGGTTCTTTTTTAATTGTAATTTGTGAGAACAGAGTGACCACCATAATATGCTATTGTAATTCTGTCAAAAGGAAATAGTGTAATCTGTGTCCGTACCCATACAGCCAGTAAAACAAATACAAATCTTTATTCATGTAGGTCTATTATAGACTCTTATGATATGTCAAATCTACCGTCAGTTCGGAATGATTTCGAGATGAGAAGAACTGACAAGAAACTCAGCTCGTATTCTTTTCAAATAAATGTTGTACATGTTTACAATGATTTTATTAAAATTATTTAAAACAGCAACACACAAGTTTCTTTCTCGTTCTTCTTGTGATGAGACAACTTACTAAATGAGCGGTAGATTAAAAAAAATGTTATGACTATTCAAAAGTGCTTCAATGTAAGTTTATTTGAATAAATTATTTTCTATTTATATTCTATTCTATCGAATCCTGATGATTGGGTGGATGACTGGTATAAAACAAAATAATTACCATAATCAGTATTCTCTGGTTCCCATTGGTTGGATGGCCAAAAGTATGGTGTTTGGAATCTGTAACAAATAATAGAATAGTATCAATGTCCATCTAGTTCTAATCTAAACAGAGCTAGTGTTATGCCCAATTTACACTCAGCCCGAATGGGCAGGGAAGTGAGCAGCGCGAGTGTGTAAACACGAGTGGAAACACTTCCCATGCCATTAGCGCTGCCACTCGCGCTGCCCGGCGCTCCCTCGATTGTCGGTTTTTCGTGCGCGAGTCAAAGGACTGGCAGCGCGAGTGGCAGCGTGTTTTTACATTCAGCCCTCTCGCTCAGTTGTCGCCCGGCAATATTTCCGGCAGCCCGAGTCGCAGGGGAAGCGGCTGAATGTAAACGTAGCAATATACAACTGATAGAAATATATATATTTTTTAAATAAACATTACAAACAACAAACCGATACATAGTACTCATGAATACAAACATTTGTACCATGCTAGGAACCAAACCCGGGACATTGAGAATTAAAGCGGTACCGTAAACCGACTACGGACTGACGGATACGACTTTAGTTTGAGGGCACTTGTAGAGGTTTTTTTTAATTTATGATAATGGAATAAATGCACCTGTCTGCGGTAACGGTGTACGCTGGAGCGCCAGTGGAGGATGATAAGATGAATTACGAAGCCAGATCAGTTAAGACATCATCACAAATTTACGAGGAATTTGTCATGATGATTACCAGAGGGAACCGCATGGAAGTCAACCTGACATGGTACATTGCTAGCAATAAGATCATCAGTCCACATTACTAACAATCTCCTTTTCCACCACCTATAGAGGTTCGAACCTAGGTTCAGGCTAGAATACTAACAAATCTGGCTGAGCATCATTGCATTGCTGCGGACCTAGTGCCAGATGCACGATGTGGATAAGATATATGAATGAAAAGGTGACACAAAAATAATGAGTTGTGTATTCATCTGCCAACATACGTAAGAATAACTACATGTAAAACAATAACCCTGGACAATGAAGAATGTTAATAGGTAGGCCAAATCGGCTGAAAGTTTAGTATAGTAAAGCTTGTATATATATACAAATATTATAGTTTTTGTTTTAGTCAAAAATACCTATTAGTTTTGACTTTATAAGCATTTAAACTTACGATAAATTTCGAGTCCTGCTAACAGTCTCGCTAAAGATGACCCCATCTAGTCCCACAGTAAGCAGAACTTGTGTTATGGGTACTAGACAACTGATATAAATACTTAGTTTTTTTTTTTATACCTACATAATATAAATAGAAAACTCCCAGACCGATACAAACAATCATACTCATGAATACAAATGTTCGTGCCGTGCGAGGAATCGAACCTGTGATCATCGGATGTAAAGTGATGTGCTCGACCGCTAGACCACCGAGGTCGTCAAAAATGTATAGAAAAGTGCAGAATAAAGTCTTCTTTATGTTTATTCATCTGCCAAGTTCGAATATGCCGCCCCCAGGACTTGCCGCCCCCAGGACTTGCCGCCAGGGGTATGGGATGGATATCTGAAATAAATTAATAAATAAAATAAAATTACTCACCTGTAATAAGTGTTATCATTTTTCACAGTTAGGCAATGATCATCGATTGGGAAAAGGTAGCCGTGGGCTGCCAGAAGGTGTGCCAAGTGCTGCGCCTCCCAGGGCTCCTCCAGCTGCAGATGGCGAGACAGCCAGGCCACCAGGTCCGACCCCGTGAACACCTGAAGACATATATTCTATTCAATCTGGTGTTAATGTGTATTAGTACTCCATACATATAAATAAAATTCGAGTGTCTGTTTGTAATATTGAAATAACCGTTTTTTACTACATGCATATGAATATATATACGGTATGAGTACATACACCAAAACAACATTTTTTACTATTTTTGTCTGTCTGTTTGTTTGTTCCGGCTAATCTCTGAAATGGCTGAGCCGATTTTGACGTAGCGTCGTAGCGTAATGCTTATAGCTTAAAGACTTCGACAAATGGATTATCCAAGATAAAATAAAAATTCAATTCGAACTAGTAGTTCCTGAGATTAGCGCGTTGAAACGTACATACAAAACTCTTCAGCTTTATAATATTAGTATAGACTAGCTGTTCCCGCGACTTCGTCCGCGTGGAAACTAACTATATTTTTATAAGTTAAAAGAATTTTTCTAAAATATAAATAGCCTAAGTTACTCCTTATTACATCAGCTACCTGCTAAAGAAAGTCCCGTTAAAATCGACCCAGCCATTTCAGAGATTAGCCGGAACAAACAGACAGACAGACAAAAATTGTAAAAAATGTTATTTTGGTGTATGTACCGTATTTATATTCATATGCGTGTAGTAAAAATGGTTATTTCAATATTACAAACAGACACTCCAATTTTATTTATATGTATAGATTATGTATATTATTTATTTAAGTATGTTTTTACTGTACAGTAATTTGAGGTAGACATTATTTAACCCAGAGGTTCCCAAACTTTTTTGTGTCGTAGACCCCTTGTTATATTAATTTATGTTTCGGTTTTGGGTAGACCCACCATTCTTACCTGGTATTGATTTTTTGTTAATTTCTAACTGTAGTAAAGTTTAGTGTTAAAAACATAAAGTGAAAACAACAAGATTATCGCTGTCGTAGACCCCTTGCAGTTTGTCATAGACCCCTGGGGGTCGATATAGACCACTTTGGGAATAGAATAGAAAATCATTTATTCAAATAAACTTAATTCAAGCACTTTTGAAGAGTCATAACAATTTTTGTTTATCTACCACTCCTTCGAAAGCTGTCTCATCACAAGAAGAACGAGCAAGAAACTTGTGTGTAGCTCTTTTAAATAATCATTGTAAGTTTACATTTACATGTCGAAACGTATGAATACAAACTACCAACCAGCACTAATTTATTGGGTCAAATATAAATATACAATAAGATTGAATCAGTCGTAGTGATAAGAGCAGACCAGTCTCTACAAACAGCACTCGTTCACGAGTATGACGGATGAGCCAGCCATTACTGCGCTCGACCATATTTTAGGGAGCCCAATGACCCGGCCCACCACGCCGCCTCATGTCTGGACATTTTAGTGAGCATGACTACTCATTCCACTCGACCACGTCATAGCTACTTAAAATTACTATATGGTAATTACAGTATTCGCACTTTACATGAGGATGCATGCGGCAATCAATACAAAAGCCGCTACGCTATCATATATCAAGAAAGCAGTATGAAAATGAAATTATAACGTTGTCCGCAAACAAACTTATTCTTGCTAGATATTGCTATCATGTATAAATTCATCTATCCTATAATAGGCTAGGCTTTTTCACTCATTTAACCCCTAGATTTATTTCTGAATCCAAGGGGGGAGGGGGGGCGCTGAGGCGTGAACATTGTATGTAATTCTTACCGAGGGTATTTTCGTCATAAAACTCTTCACAGTTCTGACCGGTACACCAGTGTTCTCATCCTGCATCTTCTCAATTATTGCCTCCATCTGTTAAATCATATTTATTGAGCAAAGCCTATTACTCACTAAACGATTACTTGAATGACGAGCGTGCATGGCAATAGTTGTTCATGCACGGGATTTTCATTTAATGTTAGACATAGACACCTATATAAATATACATTGTAAATAAAATGGCTTTTAAAAAAAAAGTAATTCAATAGAGTTTCTTGCCTGTTCTTCTCAATTGGATAACATACCAAACTGGACGGGAAGAAATTAAATTTATAATGTAAAAATTTAACGTTCATAAGCGGCTAAAATGTCCTACATGAATAAATGATTTTGAATTTCAATTTGAATTTGAATAAACACATTTATGTGTGAACTAGTTTTTTTATTGTGTACAAAATTCAAAATATCTTTATTCATGTAGGTCTATTATAGACACTTATGATATGTCAAATCTACCGTCAGTTTGGAATGATTTCGAGATGAGAAGAACTGACAAGAAACTCAGCTCGTATTCTTTTCAATTAAATGTTGTACTAGTTTACAATAATACAGAGTCATTTTTAAATTCAAATTTGGGAGAATAGAGTGCCCACAGCATATGCTATTGTAAAAGCAAGTGTTACCGTACAACTTATAAAGAATGTTAGTAAAATATAATATAGAGATATGCTCTCTGTTAGTATATCTGTGTCCACGTCCAGAAGTACTGGGTGGTGCAAAACAACGATATCCAGTGGTTCTGGAGTGGACAATCTTACATATTTGCAATAGTTGTTAGGATGCTGTTTGCTCCCCTTGATTCTAGACATCAGTTGATGCAGTTATAGAGCGGCTGAAGGACAACTTAGCCTAAGGAATATGACTTTAGTCTGAGGACACTGCTTCGAACCTCGGCTTAGTTACCGTAATTTTGATTGGACGAGGATCGATCTGGGAGCAGCTCTTCAATCTCGCAGGTTTTCACATGTCCTTATAATTGTTGCTAAAAAGGTACCTTTTTATAGATGAGATAGTTGGGAGACTCCTCGGGTGAAGGTATAGTGGACATAAGGGCCTGCACGCTCGGCGGCAGACTCGATACATTGTCCTTTTTGTCTCTGTCCTTTTCCTTCTCCTTATCTTCTTTGACATATTTCGAATTATCTCTGTAAGTGTAAAATAAGTTAAGGGTAAAATTTTAACACTTTGAATGTCATATTTATTTACTACTAGCTGTCCCGGCAAACGTTGTTTTGCCATATAAATTAATAACGCTATAAAAAAATAGGGGTTGATGATAGAAGGGTGAAAATTTAGGATTGTATGTATTTTTGTATGTTGTATCATAAAATAATAGAAACTAAAAATTTTGTCTAAAAAATAAAAAAATAAACTTTAGGGGTGCACTACCCCTAACATTTAGGGGGATGAAAAATAGATGTTGGCCGATTCTCAGTCCTACTCAATACGCTCACGAAATTTCATGAGAATCGGTCAAGCCGTTTCGGAGGAGTATGAGGAGACGTTTATATAGATATATTATTTATTTATATGTATATATAGGTGTATATATGTATATTTTATATATAATGATTATTATGTAGTTATATGTATGTGTATATGATATGTAAATTGTACATCCAACAACTAATTGTTATACCTCGACCAGACACAGTCTAATGACGCCTCTCCATCCTAAGGTTGCATGGAAGAAATCGCTATTTAGCGATAAGGCCGCCCATTGTTACCCCTATATTATAATTATGTTGTTTTTCTTTTTATATTTGATGTAAATATTAATTTATGTAATTGTTATATCTTTCTGTGAGAGGAACAATAAAGTTTAATCGAATTAAGTGTTATTTGCGACTGACTGCAGGATAGACACAGAAAAAAAAAGGTGTTATTTGCGGAAGTCCATTTCACTACTCAATGGATTAATATTGTTATGTTTAATTTATTAAATTGTAGCGGAATTAAACAACATAATATACTTAAATTCATTGAGTAGAACAATAAAGTGTGTTCCATTTAATTTCATTTCATTCATTTATTTATATTTAATCAACAGCATAAAAAAGAAGATTCTAGCTTTAAAAAAGATGATACTGCCACACAACTATTCACCTTTCAACCTTTTTTTTAAAAAGTATATAATATTAAGCATATGTCCTTTCTCAGGGTTTGCCATAGACCAGTGTTTTCCAATGTGGCACCCACACCCGACTGGGGGCAATTTCATTGTTAAGAGTGCCAATTTGAAAATGGACTGTATTAAAATTATATAGAGTGTGAATTTCAATTGTTCCTTGTTTTGAGAATGTACTGATTGTTTCATTAACAATTATCTTGTGATTTCTTCCTAAAACCTATTATTTTAGTTTCTTAAATGAACAATTAATTTCTTTAATCATTTTTTTATGGATGATAATGGAATGGTGCACCCGCCTGCGATTACGGTTTACACTGGTAGGGCACCAGTGGAGGATGATAAGGTGAACATGAGGTCAGGTCAGTTAGTATATTGTGACAAATTAACCAGGAATTTATCACGATGGTTTCTAGGAGGAACCGCGTGGAGGTCAGCCTGACATGGTACATTGCTAGCAATGGGGTCATCCATCCACGTCACAGTAACAATCCTCTTTCCCCCCAATTATACATGTTACATAGGGGTGAGAGTGGGGGCATAAGAATTTCATAAAGACTAAAATGGACATGACCCTAAAAAGGAAACACTGGTCTAAACTCTGTACCATATTTGTTTATATTACTTCAGTAGTTTTGGTGTAAAAGTGCAACAGACAGTTGTTCCTTACATATTTTAGGTTTTACAATAACATACCAGAGTCTGTTATAAATCTGCCAGAAAAAAGATTTAAATGTCAAATAAAACAGTTCCTTTGCAAAAAAAGCTTACTATAAAATTGAAGAATTCATTAACAATAATGATGTTTTTATAGAAAAACTTTAAAGCCATAGCACTGACAATATTATCTGATTACATTAATAATGAGTGTGTAGCGATTTCTATGTTGATTATCGCATGCCTCTTACTTGTTATACTGTAATTATTTATAAAAAAAAACATCTATTAAAAAGAGCAACACACAAGTTTCTTGCTCATTCTTCTTGTGATGAATCTGCATTCCGAATGAGTGGTAGAATCAAAATATGACTATTCAAAAGTGCTTGTAATGAATTTATTTGAATAAATATTTATTTCTACTACTATTTCTATTTATAATATTGATAAGGACTGCCTTTACATATATTTTATTTGTGTATTATGTGTAATGGATATGTATATAATAAAAGAAATAGTTAATAATATTGACTATATTATTAACTACTTCTTTCATTCCATTCATATGCCATTTACCACCTGTCTTTCCTCTACCAAAAGGTTGTTAGGAAGAAATTGCTTAAGCGATAAGACCTTCTATTGTATCTTCATCTATACATATAAATAAAATTGGAGTGTCTGTTTGTAATATATATAAACGTTTTTTACTACATGCATATGAATATAAATACGGTACATACACCAAAATAACATTTTTTACAATTCTTTTCTGTCTGTTGGTCTGTTTGTTTTGGCTAATCTCTGAAATGGCTGGACCGATTTTGTTTGGGACTATTTTTGTAGGTAGCTGATGTAATAAGGATCCTTAGTAACTTAGGCTACTTTTATTTTAGAAAAATAAAGTTAAATTCTACACGGATGAAGTCACTGGAACAGCTAGTACTTTATAAATTCTGTTAATTCAATTTCATATCAGGTGCTGGATTTTCATAGGATAACTTTAGATTATTCAAGTATAAGTCTTTCTTTTAATTATTGTATACAGATATGTTATCTAGCTATGTAAGAATAATAAGGAAAGGTAATTAAAGCTCCTTTGGTAATTAAAACCCTGCACTTAAGGTTTTCGGGAAGAGAACTCTTACAGAGTTCAGCTCACCTGTTGTACATCTTTATTTAATATAAATGATATGTTTGTAATTATTTGTGTACAATAAAGAATAAATAAGGAACTGTAAAGCTTACTTAGTGAATAAATAAATAATTATTGGCATGTAAATGGATAAAATGACATACCTTGATGGTCCCTGCTGACAAGCTTTCTGAGCCGCCTTCTCCGAAGAGTTCATCGTAACCATTTTAATTCAAAAACACTTCGGGACACACCAAAAAACCAAACGAAATTACCGCCAAAATATTCAACACTTGAGCATTTTTTTTTAAACAGATGAGATCATGTAACTATTTATAATGCCAAAATCAGTCTTTTCATTTACCAAGAATAAGGTAAATTTACATAACTTTTTAAATAGATTGATGAATTATAAACAATATTTTTTTGTATGTTTAGAGATATTTTTTTTTTATACACAGATCGAAGAACTCGGATAAAATAATTTACAAATAGCATTTAAAATGAACACTCTTTTACTTTATGAATTGGATTAAGAATAAATTAATCTTATTAGATCATACTCTGTACCAAGAAAATAACTAGGGCCAGAATATTTTGGATTCATTCGTGGTAAAGGAATTAACACAAATTATGCAGTTTTCACAAATAATCATCGACGTAGAAGTCCACAACAATCACTGTATACATTCTAATTGTCATTCGTAAGAAAAAGAGTCATGTTTTATTCATAATTATCGAAAAATTACCAATTTGCTTTAATTTTACCATTTTGAATAAGAGATAAATGTCAAATCTCTGTTAGCCATTTAAATCTTTTTTGTCGTACTTTTCAAACAAGGATAGTCAAATACGAATTTATAAAGATAAAATGAGACGGGAGTAAATACGCTGTATAAAACGACTAAATGCAAAAGTTACATGACGAAATTCGGAACAGTGCAACGCAATGCTCTTCTTAATTTTGTACCTAAACTGTCTACAGAGATGGCGCATGTGTTTTGAAGTTTATTGAACGCTTCTTGGAAGTTATTTTTAGAAAAAAAAAACAATGTAATGATTTCTCTAAAATATAATGCCGTAAATAAATTCTGTAACGTAATGTACCTACATCCGTCCATTGTATATTCATTTCTAATGTAATTAATTTACATCTTTACTAGCATAAAACTGAATTATGACCGATAGATGGCGCTTACTACATTTTGTTAAATGTGATTCTAATATTATAAATCCTAAAATATCTAGTCTTGTTACGATTTTATACGTAAATAAATCGCTGTAGCCATTAATTTTTCTACAATATAAATATACACTATACCTACATCGAGATGTGTTATGTGCACAAATTATCTTAGAATACTCATAGTTTTGTAATAATTAAAATATAGAATTGTAATATCTACTAAAATGAATAAAAACAATTAATCATATATTAATCTTTTGCTTAATTAATAGACCCTAATTGCATCATTTTATTGCAATTCCTAGTAATAAAATGACACATTAACCGCAAAACCGCATAGACACTATACCACACGATTTTAAAACCTAATATGTGAAGTCAGTCAATCGGATATTTCTAACCTATTTATATAAATCAATGAAATATTAAATGAAAAAATATGAAAATTACATCTTTATTAATGAAATGAAATTTCCATAAGAGGTACAATAATATGTTCGTCCTCGTAGTAATGTTCAATTCAATTTAACATGTCAAAAATGTATTATTATTTATATATTACCGGAGCCTGTACCTATATCTCTACATAAGCCAAAAACTTATTAGAGCTGGCAACCCTAAAATCGGGTTGTCAAAATGGCGACGAAAGTATCTAAATATACTAGTGTTGGTGCTAAAGATTATAGAATGGTGCGTCACTTTTAATATAACGTAGTTTTTTAAGTAATTTGTGATAATAAAGGCTACTGGAAGGCGCGCTCCCGCCAATATATCGCCATTTTTGTTTATGTAGCAAACCACACGGTGGGTTTGCCCGTTCGATTAGTAGTTGAACATAAATCGGACCGATTTGCTACCGTATTGTCATGCACAGGGGCACAGAGTCATTGATCAGTAATATTGAAAAATTTCCGTGTCTGTGGAATATAAGACATGAGAATTATAACAATCGAACTATAAAAGACGATGCATGGGAATATATTAATAGTCAATTACATTCAGACTGGTATGAACTTAGTGAAAACAAAAAGAAGGTTAAAGGTAAGTATTTTTATTATCTAATGTATTGATAAGTCATAAGTAGATATGGGTTGACATAGGAAATAACGTTAACATGTCTGCTTTTCTTAAAAAGCACGACTACGTGCTTTTCGTAAAAAGCATATATTTTCTAAATAAATTTCAAATGATACTGGCCGCTAAATAAAGATGGCGCTATTATCATGTCTTAAAATACAAACAGTCAAATACGATGACATCCCTTTAATTATATTTTAATTTAGTTCAATTGGGGCTGTAAAAGTAACAATAAATAAAGTACCCGTACTCAATAATTATTAAACTACAGTACCGTTACGTTACTAGTGTACAATTGACTACCACCAATTTTTAGGCCGTATTTGTTCTAGTTTTTATTTTATTTATTGGAAACCAACGGCGTTACAATTTAAAGTTTGTTTGTTTCATTTTAGTTTTTAAACCGTCCTCAACTGTACTATGTAGATGGATGTTTGAGTCATCCGCTGGTCCCTACGGACCGCAGGGTGCGGGCCTCGAGCTGTGCTCTTTGCCCGGGCATACTGCTGAACCACCCCAGCGTCATTCTTTTACCAGCTGGCCTCAACAGCCGCCTGTAGGCATTGTGTGGCGGTAATCATGGCTTAGCTCGCCGAGCCGGCTTAACGCCGCCACGCCACGCAAGTGACGTGATCACTCGGTGGAAAGTAGATATATTTGATGAAAACTAGTGAACCCATTGCTAGTAAAGGGTCGACCTTAACGCGGTTCTCTCTGGAAACTATTGTGGTTAATTACTACTGAATTCGCCATGAGTGGCTCTAATTTAATCCTCATCACATTCTCCTCTGGTACGCCGCCATTGTAAATGATTTGAGCAGATGAGTAAACCATCCGGTTTTCATAAACCACACTACTACGTTCTTGTTTTCTTATACCATAAATAATTTGGTCTTTATTTTTAAAGCCCGCAACTATAATAACATGTACTTTCTCTTTATGGTTAAAGTTTTTGACATATAAAACGTGAAAAAGCGATAAAAAAGTGTCCATTATAAATAAATACTTTTCATTTTTACTTCAATTTCAGTAATTATGTAACTATAATAACCAGCTACCGTATGTAACATATTGACTACAGTAACCATGTAACTGCAGTAACTAAGGGTAACTACAGTATCTAAGCAACTACAAGAATTACAAAATACCGGCACGTTACTTCGGTACAGCAGCTGTTTCCATTAATTACATAGATCTCGTTACCTTAAGATTATTAGTTTCGGAAACAATCTTGAACTTGCGAACACGAAATCTTTTGAGAATTCAAAAATTTCATAGTCAGTCACGTGACAGTGAATACCAGAAAGTATTATATTACTCTGTTATAAATACCCTTGTTAACATTCCCCTAGAACTATATACGACATTGACAAAAAAAAAAAATTATATATTGTGTATTGTTCTTATGAATTATATTTTGAAAAATGTCTATACTTCATAACGTAATCGGATTTAAGAGAGTAAATAGTCTTTCTCTTTTTTATCTTAAAGATTTTGCATTAAAATGTGACTTACTTATTGGAATTAAGAAACGCTACCTACAATGTAAGTATACACAAATGTACCATATATATTATAAGCTACACATATACACGCAGTGTGGAGTCTGTGTAGTTATCGCTTTATGTTTGGACACTGTACAGTATTTGTAATACGATGAATTCGGCGAAAATTAAAATAAAAAAGCCTTTTATACACCAACATCAGTGTATATACGCCATGAAACTACACATCCGACATATATTGGTCAGGTAATTTAAGACGTCTTGACAGATTTGAGCGTTTCAAAAAAATCTGATCAACTAATAGACTACAAATAATGATATTGACGACCTCGGTGGTCTAGCGGTCTAGTCTACCGCTTTACGACCGATGGTCGCGGGTTCGATTCCTCGCACGGCACAAACATTTGTATTCATGAGTATGATTGTTTGTATCGGTCTGGGTATTTTCTATGTATAATATGTATGTATTTACGAAAAAAAAATAGATCTATGTATTTGTATCAGTTGTCTAGGACCCATAACACAAGCTTTAGCTAGCTTAACTTGGGTCTAGATGGCGCTGTGTGAATTGTCCTGAGATTATTACTATTATTATATTTTGACATGATTAGATTCATTTTAAATTTGACCATTTATTTGCAGCTGCCGATACCAAAAAGAAATGGACGAACATAAGAGATTGTTACAGACGGGATTGGACAAGAATGAAAAACTTAACCCCAGAAGCAGCTTTGAAACACAAACGATATATTTATTCCGACCTATTATCTTTTATGGATCCAGTCTTTAACATACCAAGATAGTAAGTCTGTTTTAACTTAATAGTTCGGTCAGTCATTCATAATTTAAGAGCCGCGTTCTAGTTGGTGGAGCAATTGCCATTTGTTATGATCTTCGATCAATCTCTTTTGATATTGATACTAATAACAATGTCTGAGGACAATTCACACCATCACCACCACCAGCGCCATCTAGAGTCAAAGCTAAGCAGAGTTTCTGTTATCAGTTTTAGAGAACAATTAATGTTATTAATACATAAATATTTTTTTATAAGGAATACATGGTATATTATCTATATACCATGTATTCACATAACATCAAAATTAATCCAATGGACGACGGTAGGCTCGCCCCCCGTCACGTTGTATTCAAATATGAAGAGAGAAATGTGGACATGTCAAACGTTGCGTTCACCACGACGTCGACAGTTGATAATGCCTCTGACTACTCAATCTGAGATAACAGTAATTAAGTATGTATATGTTTACTTTCATAGTTTTGATGGCAACTCCACTACAAATGAAGATACCCAGTCATCTAGCGTAGAAGAAGAGGAAGAAGAAGAGACAGAAGACCAGGATTTTGAGGATCAGCTATGTGAGATAATGATTAAGCCTGAAATTGAAGAGGAGAAGGCGAGCAATGACGTACCTAGTCAAGTACGGAATCTGTTATATCAGACTCAGACACAAACAAAACCGAACAAAAGGCGGCAAATGAAAGATCACGATGATGGCGATGATAACGATGATACAAAGTATTTGCTAAGTTTTCGTTCGTACATGAAGAAAATGAACACCGGAGAAAAGATAGACTTCAAAATAGGAATGTTAGAATTGGTGAAAAACATAATGGGGTCATCGACTTCAAATTATTAGAATTTCTAGTCTCTAAATATTTTTATTGTACGGCAAACTGACCTGATGATAAGTGACAAACATCAGTTTGTTAATTGAACAACACCACGTCATCATGTGACACCCGTAATACTCATGCCTTGCTATTCCAGAAGACTAAACGCTGCAGCTACCTCGAATTCTATATCTTTTCTCACTGTCAATCAACAGCAATCCTCATTAAAAATAGTTCTATATCTCCGAAGGTAAAGATCTATCCAAACGAATGTTTGACACCAGTGATAATTTATTCCTAGCAGTGTAATTAATAATTCTAACCAAAACATTGGTTGTAAAGCAAACTGCTTGACGGTAAAAATAGGCGAGACAGAATAATTGAATTTATGTAAATATAAAACAAAATGAAAATAACCTAGATCGAGATACTGCGAGAGCAATGTTGAAATATAAATTCGGCGAAAATTATACGACTAAGTAATGAGTCTATGAAGTTATGTTCTATTCCTGAGTTATACACACAGCAATAATATGATATAGTTAATTTTAAACTTTCTTGTTTAATATACATTATTTAAATTATTAACCGGGTCTTAACTTAGTCGAAACGTCGAGAGAGGTAAATACCTTTATTTGCCATAAAATTATTCGTGTTAAGACCCGGTTAATAAATTAAATAACAATATGATATCTTCTTAAATGTTTTATGTGATAATTATAATATAGACTGTCATAAAAACTCAAATAAATAAGACAATTTACATATAAATCTTTTAATTAACAGAACCTGACGATACCATTCAAATCATATCAAAATATCTTTATTCACGTACCTATGTTTCTAAATCACAGACAAGATAATATTACATATTAATATGAAAATCGATTTAATCATTGAAAAATTACTTCAATAATTTTGACTATAAAGAGGAAGTGCAATTTAAAGAAAAATATGACTTAAACAAAACAGTACCGTGTAAAGTTTAAAAAGAGAACATTTACAGATTACTATGAAATAATAGATATGGCTTAGATAGAAAGAATAGGTCTGGCTTAAAATGAAATAGTGCGTTTTCAATTGTAACTAAATATATCGTAACGATAACAATAGTAACGTAACGAGTACCACTTGCGCTTGGTTTAGTAACTAATATGTATCTAGGGATACTCTATTTGTCGTTACCTTTCAGATAATTAGAGCTGAAGTAAAGTATGTCCAAGACCTCAACTTACAGTTTAAATCAGAATTGAGAATGGTTATATTGGTATTCTATTTAATTAATACATTATAATGCAAGACTTTTTATGCAGAAATATTATTTAACATGTGTGTTTGTTTTCTGTGTTCGTTCTAGTGGGTTTGTTCATTGTTGGCAACACTGCCCAAAACCAATAGGTTATTTATAGTCTGTGGATTCTTGTCAAAATGGCGCCGAGAGCACCTAAACACATTAAAATACTAATAGTAGTACACCGTTTAGTGTAAGTCCGTTTGATCTATGCTTATTAGTGTATAATTACAATTATCCAAAGCTTCACTAATCTTATTTTTATATCTGACTAGCGAAAGATACTTCGGGTTTGACCGTTCGATTTGTAGTTGAACATAAGTCGTGCGGGATTCGTACCGTACGGTCATGCATAAAGAAGTAGAAATATTTATCGGTAGTATGCGTAAATATCCGTGTTTATGGAATATAAGACATGAAGATTACAACAATCGTCCTGTAAAAGATAAAGCATGGGATAGTATTAATAATCAGTTATATTCGGATTGGGTTAATATTTGTGAAAACGAAAAGAAGGTTAGAGGTAAGTTATTCTGTTATTATTGATAAGTCAGGCATGAGTTGGTCACTATAAGAAAAACGTAACTAAACGACTCTGCTTTTTATAAAAAGCGTGTAAACATGCTTTCTGCAAAAAGTATAAATTTTGTAAATATTCTTCTAATTGGTACTAGACATCAAACATAGATGGCGCTTGTTTGATGTTTAACAAATATGATGTTTCAGGTCTGCTTTTTTCTTCCTTTTGCTTGGACTTTTGTATTGCCATTAGTCAAATTTTGCATCAAAACGGGGAAATAAAACAGGAAATGAAGTAATATGTAATTTAGAGTAGTATCAAACATAGTTTATAAATTTAGAACATAGTTACTAATTTATACATATGAAATAAATACATACAAATTTATATTTTAGATAACTTGTTAATATAAATTATGCTTAAGAGTTGCAACCTCCAACTGTTCAACTACTATCGTAAAATATAGTTATTAGGGTTCTGAAACAAATGCTATACCCGTACGTACTGAATAAACGGTACTCGTTACTACAGTATCGTTACAATACAATTTTTTTTATAATAGTGACAACCATCGCTTATACGTATATATAAGCAGCACCGTGACATCAAGTCGCTTTGTCCCCTCCGATCGAACCCCCATCCAATTTAAACGGGGATCAAAATTATGATGCCCTGAGCCGAAGTTTGAACACCTAGTGGTGCCCTCAGACTAAAGTCGTATACGTCAGGCAGGAGCTGGCCTTCAGCCGCTCCATAAGTCCTTCCGCGGGTTTGGAGTGCCATCTGCACTCGCCTCCTAACGTCCGGTAAAGCTGTAAAGCCCAGCTGCAGCAAACAGCATTAGAGTAGTCCGAAAAAAAAATCAAGTCGCTTTGTGACGTCTTTTATTGATGGTACCTCTCAAATCTTGCTATTTGTTATGGACTTCATAGTTTATTGCTGGCCATTTAAAAGTTACTTTTTTACCTTTAAAAAGAATGTATATAGTTTGATTTGTTAATTTTGTGACGTAAGAAAAATATACCAATTTTATTTTAGTCTTTACATCGATTTATACATATATAGTTATAGAGTAGATGCAATAGCTTTCTGCACATAAAGAACCGACATACAAACATATATAATATTATCCACCACATAAACGACCGTGGCAGGACTCGAACCTGCAATCCACAAAACTATTCTTAGGGACTTAGGTGTCATATTTCTTGCTCTAGAAGTTCCTTTTAGTGTATACTCATGTAACTTTATTTTCAGATCGCATACGTCAGCTATGCAGTTATTAGTTTTAAACGTATTAATTTATTTACAGCTGCAGACTCCAAGAAGAAATGGACGAACATAAGAGATTGTTACAGAAAGTATTTATCAAAAGTAAAAAACTTACCGCCGGATTCACCTGAATTGAAGAAACGATATATTTATGCGGACCTCTTAACCTTTCTGGATCCTGTCTTTAACAGGCCACGATAGTAAGTGTCTTTTTACTAAATGGCTACTGAACACGCCGCAGAATCTCTGAATGTATTATTTATGCGAAATTTTTGAATTTAACTCAAAACCTAGTATAGAATTAGGAATTCCCAAACCTTGATATTGACGGCTCAAATTGAAATCCACTTCTTAACGCTCTGCAACTTTTGCTGCTGAGATGTGATGTGAGGTTTGGAATTGCAATAATGCTGTGTATGATTTTTGAAATGCATTTTTCCAATGGTTGAATGGTACTTGATATACCCATTCACTGGAAATATTAGAAACCAACGTAGTATGATGCGAATTTACTTGCCATTTCTCAGATTAATATTGATTTGTTATCTACATTGTTACGACCGGGCAATCAGTCTCAAATGTAGATCGTAAGTCGCTAGTAAATCGTTTTCCGTCTAAAATTAAACATCTTGCATTTAAATTAATATCCTCTGTAATTAAACGAGTAAAAATTTCCACAGTTCTGATGGCAACATAGCCAACAATGAAGATACCCAGTCTTCTAGCATAGAAGAAGAAGAAGAAACAGAAGAGCAAGAATTCGAAGATCCGCTGTGTGAAACAATGATTAAACCAATTATTAAACGTGAAATCGAGGAGGAAAAACAGAGAATAGATGTAAATACTGAAGTATGTGATCTGATATATGAAACTCGGAGAAAAGCAAACAAAAGACGTCAAACAAAAGATGACGATGATGGTGATGATGATGATGATACAAAATATTTGCTAAGTTTTCGCTCGTACATGAAAAAAATGAACACCGGAGACAAGTTAGAATTCAAAATAGGAATGTTAATTTTGGTAAAAAATATAATGGGATCCCCCACTTCAAATTATTACAATCAAAATTCTAAATCTTAAATAGTTTTTAAGTGGCAAACCTGTTGAGGGACCATGTAATGTAAATATGGCTACTGATACTTATAAACACGAAGATCTTCACGGATGTGTTGCCTTTCCTGAGCACTGAAGTGTTCTACCTTCGTACCCCAAATACGATCCAGAGATAAATTATATAAAGGTCGAAATGTATAAAACTAAAGAAACTCGGCAATTTTGCGTCTAAATTAACCAAAGGTTATTTTGATTTAGACGCTAAATTGCGAATTAAGATCCTGCAAAACTATATTTGTGACGACCGTATCATTTTATAGTTCATAGTGAACATATTATGGCTGACAGTTGGAAACCGTAACTGGCGGGCGACACAATTAATTGTCAATAGTTTCTGTAATCTAGTAAATACATTTTATTTATATATGTTGTTTTATACTTAATTAATAAATGTAACTATTACATATAAATCGTTTAATTGATAAAATCCGAAGACACCACTCTGTGGTATGGCAATGTTGTACAATAGATTTATAACTAAACGCACATGCGCGAAACTAGTAAGTTTGTAAAAGATAAATTTCAATAATGATGCACATTATATTATTATTTCTTTATATTTACAAATCATATGTGTCTGCTTGTAGATTAAGCTTTCACTTAAAAATGGCTAGAGAAATTACGATGAAATTTTCAGGAAATATATTATTTGATAACGAAAGTAAGTTAGGAAAAATACTCTTAAAGGGTATAATAATATTTTTAGGGAAAAATATAATTGCCTCACTTAGTTTTCGCAAAGAAATAATAGATGATGGAGATCTACAAATTAACACACGTGCAAACTCGCGGTCATCATAAATCGTTATAGTAAGTAATAAATCATATTAAATTATCATGTGTATTATATATAAAATAACACGTTTTTATTCCCGGTAAAATCTTTAAGGTCCGCTCTGAAAGCTCCGACTTCCTCTACAATCACTATTTGGTAACTTGGTACTACTAGTTACAACTTAAGAGGCCTTTCACATTTTTTGGCCTAAAAGCAGTGTCTTTGGGGTTCTGGTTCTAAGAAATTAAGAGTCGGATATACATTTTGATTCCTGAATTGTATAGATAGATATCTAATCTTAAAAACAACATCTTTGAAATGTTAATTTTCTCTTTGTTAGTCTTCCTAATTTCTAAAATAGTTTATTCAAAAACGCTAAATGACAGAAGTTTGGGGTCGTCGTTCATTAATAAACAAACATAAATTGATATGATATCTTTACTAAAACTTGATAATTACTTTATAAATTGAGACAGCATCGTCCTTTTTTTCATTTTCAACTTAAATATCTAAAAAATTGATCATAATGAAACCCAAAATTTCAACAAAACTTTGCCATAATCATTTCTAATTTTCTCATAAATACAACGAAATTTTTGCATAAAAAAAACATAATAATAAAGTTAATATACTTGTAAATTAGAAATATAAAAAAAATATATAAGTTTCTAAGAAAAAAATAAACAATAATAATAATTTAAAGTTGTAAAAATTCCGTTGCGCCAAAAGTAAATTCTCAGTGC